CTCAGGATCCATCCCGGTCTATGGAAATGTCTGAACATCTAGGGGGATATATATATATAATATGATATAATAGGAATATGAACCATGATAGTTAGCAATAGTAAAAATGATAGTCAATGATAGTTCTTCGGATTATTGTGGATAGTTAGTAATGAGCCTTAACATTGTATGACCAACAAATACCAAGAATGATTGATGGTTAACCATCCGGCAGTCAAAGAGAAGCTTGAGGAAATCCTCGATGATCTCGGACTCAGGTCATTCATCCCAAACCGAGTCGAAGATAATATAGAGGTATACCCAATAATTTAATAAGCGTCTTTTGGGAATGGTATGATTTAGGTATGTTATAGGCTTATAGGCTTTACATGGCTTTACCACATCATGTTTGAGATTTTCCATCCTACACATGCGATGATCCGGATTACTGAAGGGTACAGGGTACATGTTTATCTCTTGCAGAGTATCAATGACTATGCTGTGGCCAGTTAATGCTGCAGATGCCACAGTTGTGCGACTCGTATCCCAAAACGTTTGTGGTTTATTGACAATGTTTTGATGATTTAAGTGCCAATGGATCGAAAATACACAGGTATATCATTATTTATAATGTGTCTGTGTGCGTGTGTCCACATTGTATAAATGATTATCTAAACAAATACCCAACATGTTCAAAATCACCAGATTTTTTGGGGGGTCCAGTGGTACTATTGCGGGCTGGATTGAAGCCATACGCTGTGATCATTAACCTGCTTTCTTGTTGTAAAGACATGATCGGTTTACCACATATTTAACTAATCGCTTAGTACTGGTAAATATATGTCAAACAGTGATGATGGTTAATAGATCTTATAATAGTGTTGATAATGATTCTTAATTGGTATAACCAGGGGAATAACCTCCACAAGTTGGGATATGGGCCCCCTATAACTATGATATCTATATACTTATAACTGGAACTCCACCCCCAAGTGGAGGGTTTACCCCATATTCTCATATTCAACGTCATTTTTTTGCAAGGGTTCAGCAAATCATCAGCTCTTGAGATTAGAGAAGGTCGGGAGACATATGGCCATGTATGGCACGCTTCACTGTGTCGGGGAAATGTTGAAACACCATGAGTTTGTTTCTCTTCAAATCTCGGGTTTCTGAAAAAAACTCGCCGCCATCCGCACCATTCGGCACCATTTGCTGGGCAATTTACGCATGAAATCCAGGATACCATGGCACTGTTGAGCGTGGACATGATGTCAGAATGGGCCTAGAAAGTGGTGCCAGTTGGTTTCAAACTAATCTAATTACTAATCTAGGGCTTATGGTGATGTCTATACAACATTATACAACTATATACTTAATGGAGGTTATAAACTTCCAGAACTGGGGGGCACTGGAGCACCATCTCGCATCTCTGATTTGGTAAACTCCTCTGGTTGACGGTTGTTGGCTTGGTCTTTGTTTAACTACGATAATTACAAGGTGGTGCCCCCAAGTATCCGTAAGTTTTGGTTGTTGGTATATGTTCACTCCTCTTTTCACCCCATTAACTGGATTCAATTAGCTTGATCATGTTTGATATATACTGTTCTCGTTGTATATGTCAGTCATAAACCAAATTCGCTTTCTGTGGGACATCAATGACATCACCTCGCGATGCAGCAGAGCCAAGCAAAGAACGGTTCTTGTTTTCTTGTAATCAGTAGGAAGCAGTGAAATGGCTTGCATTTTACCATCGTTTACCTTAAACATGAGGGATACCCCAAATTGCGGCTATTGGACGTGAGAGTTTTTGTTCTTATATGTACCGTATTACAGCTGCTTAGATTGACTTTTCAGACAAACCCATAAAACGTACACGTGTGTTGCTTCCAGCCCACATATTTGCCATGGTGCCTAATAGGATTTCCATTTGAGGCCGGCCTGACGGCATTTTGAGGCGCAGCAGAAAGTGCCAAACTCCAAATGTCACATTTTTCTTGATAAACCTTGGCTTGGAAATCCTACTTGTTCAATCTTTTTCAGTGGGTAATTATCTAAGTTCAGCCATGTTTTCCACATCTAAACAGTGTTCAAAACCCCTGTTGGTTGATTATTATGGGGATCAATGATTCATTATACATATATATATATGTATTATATATATATATATGTATTATATATATATATATGTATATTAACCAATTCAATGGGAAATGTCAGAATCCATTAGGGCAATCCCTATCAACCTGCTGATTTGGTGAACTGGAATCTCCCGCAGGCCCAGAATTGGTGTCAGGGAACCCTGAAACACAGCAAAACTGCAAACAAACTGATTTCGTGCGTTTTTGTTCTATATATAAATCAGCATGGAATCCTCCATTTTGAAGCGGAGCAATTTGCTTGCCTGTTTCAAAGATCATTCAGTTTGGCAATTGGGAATATAGGTTTGTCATGGTTTGTCTAGTTTTTGTTTTTTGAAAGACCTGTTTTGTCATCAAATTCAGTGAGGCCTTACCTTATTACCGTGAGTGTATTCTATCCAGACTTCAAGAGACCATACCTCGGTATCGAACATTGAAACCGGAAACCACTTCTTTCCCCAAATTTACTGTGACGAAACCTGTCTGGCCCTTCATCCCATTCTGGGACCGTTGAGGGAGTAAAAGTATCACAGTTTGAGAGTGACGTGATTTTTTCCATATTGTGCGCACGCGGAAGACCGGCCCAAGAAAAACCAAGAACATAGATGAAAATATCTTGTCTTCAGCTTTTTTAAGTCGGCCCTATCTCTGATTCGGGCCGACGAACGCTAACAGTCGTCTGTACCGACGGGTTGGCAAAGACAGCTTGAAAAGGCCTCAGCAGGAGAGTGGTGAGGGCCAGCATGATGTTCCCTGAAGTGAACTGGCTTGTGGCTGCCTCTTCCCATTGCAAAACGGGCTGGACATTGAAGATATTGAAGGAATGTTGGATTCATAGCGACCCAGTTTTTCCCCAAACAGTGTGTCCACACTGAGGAGTCCTTACAGTAGGTGTTAAGGCCGGAGTTATATAGATCAGGGCACGCCATCTGTCCTGCGGCTGTTTTCCTGTAAATTCTCGCGTAAAATTGCTCTTGTGACTTGCCCATGTGCATTTCGACTGCGCAGGCTCGCGCAAAGTCTGCGCCGCGGGGTTCTCAAGCTCTGGGTCTGTGGCATTTTCATTGTGACTTCTCGCATAAACGGGCTCTTGCGAAAATCCTGCTGATTCCTCTCTGAGAGGTCCTTGCATGATCCTGCACAGGTCCTTAGCAGAAAATCTTGCGGAGATCCTGGTGAGACCCTCTCGAAGAGGTCCTTGCATGAGGAGCTTGCAGATGCCGTCTTGGAGGTGCTTGCATGAAAGCTTTTGTGGGAGGCTCTTGGGAGGTTCTGGCATCAGGATCTTGTATGATCCGCTCCAGCAGCAGGTCCTTTTGTGACGATCGTGTGAAATTCTTTTGTGGTCCTGGCATGAAGATCTTGCTCAAGGTCTTTTACGATTCCTTGTGCGAAGGTCTTGTGGAGATCCTAGTGAAATGCTGTCAGGGGCCTTTGCATGATCTTGTACAGGTCCTTGAGAAGCTCTTGAAGAGATCCTGGTGAAATCCTCTCGGTGTCCTTACATGATCTGGCACAGGCCCTTGTGAGAAGATCTTGTGGAGATCCTGTTGAAATCCTCCTCAAGAGGTCCTTGCATTAAGATCTCGAAGGTACTCTGCATTGGTGCTTATGAAAGTTCTTCTGGGATGCTGATAGCGAGTTCTTGTCTGAAGATCTTCTGAGCTCCTCTATTGATCTACATAGAAGGTCCTGCTGCTGCAGTTGCGATAATGTCTAACCTCATCTGTTACTGTTCGCTACTGCTGCTTGTTTCTGGTACATTGACTTCCTACCCACCACACTGTTTGGGGCCTCTTGCCGGTGTAATCCGGTTTTTTACCTCCAACTGTGGGAGGCTTTTGATTTGGGCAAGTTTGGAGGTTGCATCTTGATATCAAGCCGGCCTCAATAAACCCCGCTTAAACAAATACCAGGGTGCCATATAGGCCTTCAATCGCTTACACACTGACACAGCATTCTTTCCACAACGATGCCTTCTGTGTACTGCTTGCTGGGCCCCCATTCCACAGGATGAGAACATCAGTTGTGTTTGTTCATGTTGGTTCTTCGGTGAGGTAAACTAAGATAGATGTTGCAAACCCATGGTTTCCCAAGGAACAGGATCCATAAATGAAGGATTTTCCATGTCAGTGTGCAGGAGGGTTTATCATAAGCAAAGGAATGAATAAAATATGATAAAATATGTTTTTTCGGACAACCTTTACGATCCTTCCTGTCGCAACTGATTTTTTGTAGGCAGTTTCCTTTTGGAAGTGAACAGTCGGGAATGTTCATAATGTTTTTCCATTTTGTGTGACATTGCATTTTTGTTGGTTCTATCATAATAAGTTTCCAGTGGGTACTAGGGTAACATCTATGTTGTTCGGTCATATCAAGGATTCCATATAATTAGCAGTTTTTCAGAGCCCACTTACCCATGCCACAAACTGTTCATCTCCAGTTCAAGACATTACAAGACGACCGGTGACAACAATATTTGATGTTCTGCCCACTTGTGTTTTGGCTTGCAGCTTGAATCCGCAGGGTGGGAAACCTGCCAGGACAAAGTACTTTCAGCAAACGAAACATGTCAAGAACAAAATATCGAAATGCAAGTTCTATAGGTCTAAACCACAAAAAATGGACAAACATTGACATTATAACTATCGTGTGCCAAAAAGAAAAGATCTATGCCATGGATGTATATTTTTGTTTATTATGTATATCTATATATATATACATATTATAAGTATAAGTATATCTAAAATTATTTAAATATAGTGAGCATCATGTGCATGCGCCCCATAGTTTCACCAGCAGACCAGCAATGCGCCCAAGTCAATGCGTCAATCCACAGAATCCAAGCTATCTCTGCAAGAAACATTCAGCTGCGCGCTGGCCATGGAGGTTCTTGCTGGCCAGGAACACAGCAAGGCGAGGTTCGTAACACGTCTTGCGGCGCTGCGCACATGAAATGGAGATGCTGGTGCAAAACCAATACTAACCTAAAACCTGGTGTTGCTTTATTGGTAGACCCGATCACACCTTTATGTCATTTATGTTGCATGTTTGTTGTTGTTTAATGAATACAATATGTTGCCCTTTAGTACATGGGATCAATCAACACAGCAATGAACCCCAATCAAACCATGTGTTTGGTAAAGCGGATTAAATACACCAAAGTGAATGATTGGTACATTGGGTATGGTTTATCGTTGCGTTTATGAATGCGAAAAAAAACATGTGCCGCAACTTCAACCAATCAATGGAACCTGAAGAATCTTAAGAAGGGCAGTTCAACAATGTGTTGTTTTTTTTTAAGGGCATTGGAGTGGAACACTGCATGAAGTTGTAACCCTTTTTTTTGGCAGGAAACCATGGCTTAAATAAACAACCAGGAATCCTTTTGGATAAAGATAGCGATGCCTGTTTGGTATCCCATTCATCATTTACTGTACCCAGAATGGTTTGTCCTGCTGTCTTCAGCCACAGTTGGGGGTGGTGGCCGAAGTGTTGTTCTTGCTGCTGGGACTGGAGGTAGGAAGCCCCCAGCATCCAATCTGAGTCACCTCAACATAGGATTCCAAAGTCTTGAACATCACTATTCTTGAAATATGTTTGAGAAGTAGTTCATCTACAAATGGCCCATGGCTTCCATAGCAATCTGTTGATTTACCCGGGGGGCCCATCATTCCTCCAGGAAGCCATCATGGAAGCTCATGTCACTTGGTTGGCCCATCATTCCTTTAGGACTTCGTTTGTCCTTCCTCCAGTTCCGATGAGAGCCGGGGGTTGTTAGGTGCCGAGAGTGGAGGGCCGGGAGTTTGTTGGGATGGGGCAAAATTGAAGGCACAGGGGCCCGAAAATGCATCGGCTATCTTTAGATATTCTCATACAGTATATTGACATATATTGACTCTAGATATTCTTATACATTTGTTTGGTTGTTTATTCATGTTTTTTCGTCTACAGGACCACATGGGGTTTGTTGCCACGCAAACATGATGTGATAGTGGGTCGCATCCAGTGTGATGGTGGTCGCTGGAAGGTGGCTTAGTCACCAGCCAAATCAATACGACCACCCATTCATATCAATATGGCGACTGATCACAATTCATCATTGAAGGTTACTTGGGTCACTACAGTTCTAGTCGTGTTAGGTCTTGGGTCATCGAATCTTTGTAGAACAGTGCCCAGTTTTCTCTCATATCGTCATATCGATATTTATTTACATTTATATTGATGTCTGACATATAATATACAACCGGGATTATCTAATGATATACGTATTTCTACATTAGATGTTTAGATACTCACCAGCAAGTGTTGATCAATTTTGCATGATTTGCTTGCTGCTGATGCTCCGTTGCTCCCAACGTGACCAGCTAAATTTTACGCCAGGTAAAGACAGAACCCCGTCCGAAGGCTCCTGGGGGCGGTGGTCAGTGCTTCGGTGGTGCGGTGGGAACTGTGGAACGGTGGGGTTTTTATCCCTCCAACACAAGAAGAAACGACGTGGTTTCATGCGGATATCATTGGATTTTAATGGATGTTATTATAAATATATATATATATGGACTAATTCTCACTAACAATACGAAATTGTCAGAGAAACATGGGGATATATAATGGATATGTAAGCGAAAAACTATAATCTATGATATTTGGGTGTTTTGAAGATTGTGTATTATACCCCTCAGTCATGTTTAAAAAAAAACAAGGAAAACAATGGGAAAATGATGCTAAAGCATTGGAATCAGGGGTTACCCAACTGTTGGACAAACCCTGGTGGTTTCATATCTTACTTTCCATTCAGTTGGGATGATCATGATTCATGATCCTGATCCTGATGATGATGATGATGATGATGATGATGATGATGATGATGATGATGCAATATGAATATTTTGTTCATGTCTTACTGACCCTTCGCTTGCCAATCAGGAGTACTCCTGTATATGACTTATGACATTATATGACTATATTTCAGGGAGGTAAACCACCAACAAGACTTGGTTGAGGCGGTCCAGGGGTATCTAAGATTGGCCTTGCTAAGACTCCATGATGGCTCACTGGTTTGAATCATGACGAGAACGAGGTAGCAACAGGGGAACCAGATCGGACAACCGTGCAAGAAGGAAACGTCAAGCCTATCAGTTGAAGGTCCGAAATCCAAAACGTGGACCCCTTTTGGTCCCTGTTTTACGCGCTGGAGGCTTCAGTCGGCCTCTTTATACGTCAAGGGATTGGGAGCCGAGAGTGATACTGAGGATTCGATATCCTCTACCGCGTCGGGTGCTGACAGCAGTTGCTACTGAACTTTTTCACCCCCGCAAGGGTGATCACATTGAAGTGCCGGATGGAATTCTACTCTTACTACGCATGCACTCCGGCAGAGACAGAGGCATGCCTTTTGGGCAACATCGTTGTGACAGTGATTCCAATGACCCGTAGCTTGGCTTCTAAGGTAGGGTGGTTCAAATTCGTCAGGGAAACTTTTACAGGCAACAACAACAGGCTTCCTCAAGTTCAGCTCGTCTTTTGCAAGCATCTGCAAAAGCTTCATCAAGTACGTTATCGAAGGGAGATCGTGTTGTGCAATCATCAAGTTTGTAAAGGAGGTCGTCAAAATGGGGACTGTTGTATATATAGTGCTTTCCTAGCCCAAATGATTTGGGCCCCAATTCTGTTTATTCAAGTGGATCGTATAGATATCAATATGAACCGGATCCGAATGTGTGTCCTGAACAAGTTGTGGTTTGCTTGTCTAAGCCAGCAGGGCACACCAAGTGGATATGGTTCATAAAAAAAAATGATGACTACAGATTCCAAAATGCCGCATTCCAACAAATTACTAGCAACAAGTACTCGCACCAACCGAATTAGTTCATTATTTCCAATGTAGATTCCAGATCCTTCAATAATTTCAATACGATTGTTGGTGAATTCCAATAGAGTCTTAACGGTTCATGGGAGTGTTGACAACCAATTTTGAGTTTGGGGGTTTCCCATGGCCACAGGACGGCAAAGTCGGATACATCCTGCTGTGGGCGCTGCGGTTTTAGGCCGTTTGGGCTGTGCCTTTTGCTGGGGAAAAGCTGATAGGACTTGCTTCGCCAACACAAAGAAAATAACCAACAAACATGTGCATATTCTGGGATATGATATAGCAATATATAGCATATATATATATTTATTTATTTATTGTCTTGGTATATTGATGATATTTGATATTTGGATGTGTCTGAAAATGGGGTGTGCTCCTAATTCATGTTTATCTTAACGGGAAAAATACCATCACTGGATTTGCAAACCAAAGTAGTTATACAACATTATACAACCCATTTTGGTAACCAAAGGGATATCAGTCAGCAAGTCCCCGAAAGTGGCTCGAGTATGAATGGAGAAACTACATCATGCCAATTTTCTGCCAAACTCACCGAGTTGCTTTTGGACTTCCGAGAACACCCTGCAATCTTGGTATATCGAGAGGTTCGAGGAAGTTCAAGGGAAAATTTAATACAGTACCCCCAGTCAACGATAGCGATAGTTTCCTGTAGGTTTTGCATGGTTTTCCCGTCAAGCAGCCAAGAGAGGTATATGGTGAAATGCAACGCTTAAGCTGGGACGATTTGCTCTTGAATTCGGATGCTCCGGGCGACCCTCACGGTCCCACCCAGATTTTTTTGAGTTGGTTCAACTTGCACTTTGATGTGCTCCAGCAGAAAATCACTATTTAATACTATTCATGGATTGGTTCGATCATTACTTTTTTTTGTTGGTACCGCGTATGAGCAAAAGAGATGGTTGTAATTCAGCACGATCATCACCTAGTCATGATTATGTGAACAGTGTTGTGACAATATTTATTCGCCCGTGATCAATTGTTGTTCCACACCATGTCTCATTAATCCCTTCCCCCTAATACTAAACGTCCCCCCCTATTGATAAACACCTCAGGTATTTTTTAGTATTAGGGCGGTATTTATTATTACGGAAACCTATTAATAAATAATCAAACCCTCAATAATAAAAACTATTTTTTCCGATTTCAAACTCAATTAAATTTCTTTATATAACGCGATTAAAATATTGTCAAAAATTAGATTTCGAAGCGGGCTCTATTAATAAGATTAAAACCTTAATAATAAAAACTAGTTTGTTCGATTTCAAAATCAATTAAATTTCCTTATTTAACGCGATTAAAATATTGCCAAAAATTGGATTTTGATGCGGGCTCTATTAATAAAATTAAAACCTTAATAATAAAAACTAGAAAAACAACGGACGGACCCTAATAATAAACACCCCGGGTTAACTAGTTTTTATTTTATTATTAGGGGGCAAAACCCACAAATGGTAGCTTTATGTTTAAATTATTTTCTAAAGGGGATCAATTAAAAATCAAATTGGCCAATCTGAAATTTTCTAAAATTAGAGATGATCCCTAGTTTTTAGTATTTGGGGGGGGTTTTGTAATAGGGGGAAAGGATTAGTTTATTTCATTGCATGATATTGATGCATATCATGGCATATATACTGTAATATACTGTATGTAAAATGATTATACAGTATACATTTACTGTACTTACATATGCACACGTATACCCTCAGTATTCACTGTCACACACATAGATCATTATGATTGTTCTGTACACCCATGGCCACCCAAATGATTCCCAGGTGACACAGCAGCAGTCACCGCAGGTTTGAGCGTTCTGGCGCTGGTTTCAGCGCACTTATGGCTCACACCAAACCGACCCAGCCAAGGTGTGGGTCTGTGGGCGAGTATCCAGGGGGCTGTTGCGTGTTTTCCAAAGTTGAAAAAACAAAGTATGCAACGGGTGCATAATCCTGCATCTATGTATGTGTATATATATATATATAAATACACTCCAGTAAACAAAGCGTTTCTAAATCACAAATGGCATATTCAGTTCTATGATATTTATCTGATGAGGAGAACATCCTTAGTAATTCGCCCCGATGAGCAAAACCCATTGCTGAACCATGATTTTGGGGGTACTGGTCCATTTCATTTATTAGTTGGGAAGAAAAATGCGGATTACTGACCCATCACCTTTTTCTTGTTTCTCATCATTCTTTGGCTTGTCATATTCAGCCACCCTCAGGCTGCTGACCCTCATGCCCGAGCCCCCTCTTCTATACCTTGGTTCCCCAATTTCCACCTACCTTCCCACAATTCAACTTTAGACACTTTGGTGGCTGGCTGGTGGTTTCATAGTGCCCTAACATGTTCAGCCTTATTTGAGATGATGATCCCGAATTCACCCATATTTTTGAGACGGGTCAAAACCACCAACTACTTCACTGGTCAAGCTGGGACAGATTGATTGGTTTGTTGCTCCGATTCTTTGCAAAAACAACTACAGTAAGCCAAACAGCTGTATTTTGTGGGTTGAACCCCCTTGTATCATCTTGTATCCCATTATTGATTCTCTCAATCTCGATTTTGGATTGGACCTTTGTTAATCCAACCTTCGTTATGGGTGATCTCTTTGCCCAAGATGGTGCCCCATGAGCTACACTTGCTTCACCATAAACCCGAGTTGTGTTTGTTGGAAACCAACTTAATGAAGGACCTGAACTACCAACTTGTGGGAAAGGATTACCGGTAATCAAACATGGCTTGCTCGAAAATCACCCCATTTGCTTAGATGATTTTCGCAGCTATAGACTATAGACTTCCATTTAGTTCGGGGATTTCGCAGCGTGCCATCTTTGAATTGCCGAAAATACCAGGTTCCCATTCGAGTCCCATTAGATATTTGGGTTAAATATGTTTAAATCCCCCTTCTAGCACCATGTTTGATGGTTAAATCACGTTAAATCATCTTAAATCACCTTGAAGGAAGCTATTTCAGCTTGGCCACCTGCCCATATCCATCGACAAATCAGCTCCTTGCTGAGGCCACCTGCGAGGTCACCAGAGAGTGCGCCGCCTCGTCAAAAGTTCAATCCTTGAAGAAGGGATCTGATCAAGCTAGAAAGAATATTCATGTAATATAATATATATATATATATATTATATTATATTATATATATATTATATATTATATTATATATATATATGTGTAATGTATAAATATATATATATATAGTGTAAACATATATACATATGTATATTATACTGTATGTATATATATATATTTGTATGTATCATGTATGTGTGCCATCCAATCAGCGTGATTGATTCTTCAGCAGGTACTGGTGCCCAAGTTTGGACTTGGAATATGCCATATGTCCTGCCATTTCTGTTCGATTCAATCGTCACAGAAAATAAGTCACAATGTTGCTAGGCAAGTCCTTATCCAACACGTGCTACCTAACTGGTTCTAAAGTGAGTGGGATATTCATCCCCGATGACGCCGATATTTTTTTGAGGGCTGAAATTGCCAAGCAGAAACACACACTTCGAAAAATCTCCCAGCGCCGACAATTTGCCGCCAAAGTGCATGGGAGGTGGATAGAAAGCCGTGGTTGCTGTACATGTTATATCGATGAAACAAGTGATACATGATACATAATATCTATTCTAATGATTCTATAGTGTGTTAACCCCCAAAACCAACCATCCTCAATATCACGATAAATGGCTGGTAAATAAACGCCATCCCCAAATGGTCGGTTTATGCCATTGCGTCCGATCATCAGATTGCTTGAAGGAAGACTTACAGCTTGGTTTACCATTGCATTTGGGGCCAAATAAATACCATGCTGTCCTGTAGATTTCCCAGGCAAATCAGTCCATTGATCCCTAGAATCTCTCCCTGTTTCTTCCCGTCCCACACTTTTTGTGCAGGTACGTAAGGTTCCATTAGAAGCTTTGGTGCTGAAAAATGAGGCGGGAAATTGGCAATGGATCTGAAATATCAGTAGTTCACCTGGTCCAATATTCGTTATCATCCCTGGGAAAACGATTCCAATGGGCTAATTTGTTTCCAGGTTCAAAACCACAAACTAGTCACATTCTGTCAAGTAGGATTCTGTCTGTCCATGAATAATTCGATTTCCGGTGACCTACCCTCGCAATGTTGCCAAAGTGAATTTTTGCCAAATGACGAGTGAAAAGCACCGAACATCGGCACATCGTGGCTTTGAATCTCCACACAACGCATATATGTGTGTGAATGTATGTGATATGACCGTCGAGTCTAGAACGCAATGACCCTTGGATGAAATGATGTATCGATTCTATCGAGAAATGATGGTTCAACATGGTTCAGCTAAGTGTTGTTGTTGTTGTTGTTGTGGTTGTGTCCCGAATAATTTATGGGCGCATCTTTTTGAATTGGGAAATGCTGGTAAATATAGAATTATGATATGGGAAATGATCTGGGAAACACCGGGATATCAACCCTATATCAATAAATGGTCAATTATTCTATTTCCCCGTGAAATATATTGAAATATAGGATTTTGGCATATGAGCCTCAAAAATGGGGAATTGTAATGAATTGTACCTATATTTAATGCCATTCGGAAGATGATCAAGACTGCACCATTGAAGTAACTGCCGGGCAGCCTATTTGCAGACATCCAAAAAAAGGGTTTGTCTGAACATAGTACCCTCTGGTAATTTAACATAGCCATGTAAAATCACATTTTTTAATGGGAAAATCCACTATAAATGGCCATGTTCAATAGCTATGTTAGTTTACCAGAGGGTACCCAAAAAAATCCCCATGCTCTATCACGGTTCTCCATGCTAAGATAGTCTAAGTAGCCAGAGTGGGGATATCCGGATATCCCACTCTTGGGTACATCGAAATCCTGGGTCAAAGAAACCATGGTTTTATCATCACAATTCACCGAAAAAAAGGGTGGAAAAATCAGGCCTCAGCCATTTTTTCACGCCAGGACCACAAGGAGGACAGGTCCGTGCTCTCGATTTGGCCCTGGATTCCAATGAAGAGAAAACCATATGGTTTTTGAGTTGCATCTTTTAGTCATCCAACTAAGAATCGCCTGGATTTTCCAAATCTATTGAAATGATTGAAACAAGAAACATGTTGAATTGAAACAACACACTTTGGAATTTTAGCGCAACATTCGAATGGAGATTTAAAGAGTAACATGACCAACAAAATTTGTGGATTTAAGCAAGAAACACCGGGGTTTTTTTACTATCTCATAGGAGATTTAAGCACCAGAATTGGTGTTCTTCAAAAACGGTTGTAGTTTTAGAAGGGAAAAGGTCATCGACATGATGTTATTTTGTACTAATTATATATAGTTTCGAAAAACGGAGAATGTTTTTCCCCAAATGATGTGATTTGTGCTGTACCTTACTTTTGGTAATATGGCTCTAGAAGTCACAGACGTCATTTTGAGGCTACTCAACCGGCGCTATAGAGATGAGTCATCAAACTGCTTTTCGAACGTGAGGATGAAATCGTTTCTGAGATCCAATCCTCTGTTTCTTGTGATCAACAATCCACCAATGAGTAGCACCACGTTTTTTCTTGTCGCAGTGATTTTCGGAGGACTTGGTGGTGGCTACAACACCTTTGGGTCGAAAGACGGTTACTTGGGCGGTTTGGATATGGTGACAGTGATGGGGCTTGGGTATGTGTTGATTTTATGTTCCATAGTATATGTTAAAATATGCCATAGATAATTAAAACACTTGAATTTTAATTAATAGTAACATGTTATACAATCTGCTGTAAGTCGATCTATGCACTCTAGTTGAACAGGCGTGGAAAATCGTGACCATTTCTTTTTGTTTGGTGGTCTCGTCTTGTGGCGATCCCAAAAAAATCACCCCGCGATAGAAAGTCAGCCCCTTGATTCCTGGTGGTTGGTGGTTTGGTATTTGGGCTACATACATGTAACATTCAGGTTTTTGGGGTTCATTCATTTCAAAGTAACTGGTTCCCACATATTCCCGAAATCTCCCAGGAAGGGTTGACGCTGAGTTGATGAGTAAGTATTACTTTGATGTACCATGAAGTGTTTTTTACTTGATCTAATTGATCCAATGAACATTGCAAGATGATATATAAGATGATACCGATCCATTCCGATCCACCAGGGATGACTGTGGATCACTATGTCACTATGCTAGTCTTATGCAACTTGTATCATTATTGAATTATGCAATCCTTTCCATACCATGCTACCTGTTGCTTAACATCATATAACCCACCAATATGGATTTGTGAAGAAAAGGAGGTACTGTACTCCAAAATTGCCATGTTGCTTGGGACAATGATTTCCGCAATTTTCTTTAAAGAAAAATTAAACACCTAGACTATGCTCAACATTGCCAATCTGTGCCAGTCTTATGAAAACTGTTGGGGGTCTTAGCAAATTATGAGATTTTGGGGTGCCCTATCTGCGAAATCCATCGGCTTGCCTTCAGGTTGTGACGGAGAACTGCATTTGGCATTCTTGCGGGAACAATACAGTGCCCGGGTCAGTTTTCTGACTGGTGAATGGTAGGTGAAAGCAGCCTATGTTTTACGAGTTTGAAGATGAAATAAACCAGCAAAGATATACATATAATTATATATATATATACTGTACGTTAGTTTACCAGAGGGTACTTGTATTTCATAATGCTTTATATGAAGGATTGTGAAGTGAGATGAAGTGAGTATGTTTTACGTGGAGTTTCCTCATGTGTAATGATCCATTGATAGCATGCTGGCTGGTTGAAGTTCCCAGCATCTATGTTTCAACATCCCCATGTGTTCATCTTCATTTTCATTTTAATACTGCAAAGTATTGTTGACTTGGAATTTAAAATCCTTTGGTGAAAGGCGGTGAGATGTTGACTTCGAAGGTGACATTTTTGTCTATGCTATTCCATTGGGTGGGATGACGGGAGCAAATCATATACTGCACAGGAAATCTCGGCCTTTCCCATGACATGTGTACAACGTTTTATTGTTTTTTTTGCACTATAGACCATATTAGACCAAGCAAGTCTGGGATGTACCCTCTGGTAAACTAACATAGCTATGGAAAATCACCATTTTTTAATGGGAAAATCAACTATAAATCACCATTTTCAATAGCTCCAAAACTCAGCCCGTTGGCGAGAACAAAATCCGAGGTGTGTCGGCTTTCAGCCCTCGATGGCACGGACGACGGTGCGCATCCAATTTCGGGATGGGCTCGGAATGCCGCTTGGGGGTGCTTTTTTGGCACTACTAATGGCTATAAGCATGGTATCATGGTACTGTAATCAGCCCGAAAAGTTGTGATATAACCCTAAGTGTGGCGAGAATTCTAGCCCCATGATTTTCGGGGTCTCCACTGTAGAGGAACAGCCTATGGTTTGGTGACGGTTTGGCCTTCATGTAGCAGCAACTGCTTGTGGGGTCATGTTTGAGTTCCAATGTAGAGATGTCCACCAGAGATATCATTGAACATCAAGGAAACCTAATACTACCTTCATACATCCCATGTATATACTGTATATGTATATATATAATTATATATATATATATATTTGTATGTAATTGTACTATAATATATAATTGTACTAAAATGTATTTTACATATAAAGGACAGTGGTCAAACGGGGGCATCCTGGGGAGTCTAGCAAAGGGCGGATCGATCTCGGGATAGTATTAACTGATTTCTGTACGTATATCTTTGCATTTTTCTACAAATCATGAGTAATAGAGAATGTATGTAGATTTGTGTATATCTTGTATACCTATGTACATATCTCTCACATATACATACATATATATATATACATATACAGGTACTGTATATTATATATATACATATATATATATATTCATATTAAAATATAGGTAGATAGATAGATATATATATATATATATTAGATAGATAGATAGATGGATGGATAGATAGATAGATAGCTAGATAGATAGATGGATAGATAGATAGATCGATCGATTGATACATGGATATATAGATATATGGGTGGATAGATAGATACTGTAGATAGATAGATGGATGGATGGATGGATGGATGGATAGATGGATAGATGGATAGATAGATAGAATAGATAGATAGATCGATCGAGCGGTCGATAGATAGATCGATACAGATCGATACATGGATAGATCGATAGATCGATAGATACATACCATATGCACGCATATACCCTCTGGTAAACTAACATAACTATGGAAAATCACCATTTTTAATGGGAAAATCCACCATAAATGGCCATTTTCAATAGCTATTTTGACATAACCAGAGGGTAATTCTTCTGAGCCAAACATGGCAACCAGTCCAACCAGCCAAGCTGTCCCAGGAAATCGGAGTGCCAACGTGACCAAAACCAAAGGCCCTGCCGTGGGAAAAAGTCGTGGGAAAATGACGCGCTGATAGATATCATCAACCAAAAATAAGGGCATATATAAGTTTAAATAATAAATATATATATATACTGGTTGGTGGTTTGGAACATGTTTTATTTTCCCCAATAGTGATGATGATCCAATCTGACTAATATATTTTCAGGAGGGTTGAAACCACCAACCAGTATATATTATATATATAGCATATATCTGTATCCAGGCAAAGTATTTTGGATGCTCGCTTCCGCAATGCATCGAGACAAAACTATGATCATCCCTTGGATGCTCAGGTTTGGCCGAATGCAGACATTTGTGTGAGAAGACGGGCGAGGACCGGGTTGGTCCCATGTGATTTTGTGCTGTATTGAACTGGAAAATCACCATTTTGAAGAATGGCAAATTATGATTTTTATGATCTATTTCTATGGGCCATGGCTTCCATAGCCTAAGTGTTAAATAAATAATAAGCAGAGGGTGATTTAGAAGAACAAAGGCCCCTTTAAGAACTTCTGGCCCAATTTGCGGGCCAACTCTGCCATGTTCTTTGGACTTTGGACATCGATGGCAAGTTTGGTACTTTGTTTTTTGCTAGAAATGGGGATGTATATGAGCCTAACCATCTGGGGGTTTCCAAAAATAGGGGTACCCCATACTACTTAAGGTATACTCATACTGCCACGTCCATACCTATGATGCTGAACACTGTTGGCTGTTGACAAGCCGCACAGACTCCTACAAATCATCCATTTATAGATGGGATTTTCCCTTATAAACCATCCAGCTATTGGGCGTCCCCATTTATGGAAACCCCATCCAACAAAAACATGTTTTTCTTGCACGGTGTCTAAGATTTGCCTTTCTTTTTAAAGAAACCGATCCACCATGGTCTGATACGTGTCTTCGGGTTTTCAGGGGAATAGTTGGGCACCTGGGATATGAATATATCGTAATGGCTTAGTCTTACTTGGACATGGCGGAATATCAATCTTAGTATATTTACTTGGATGTCTCTTACCCAAACCATTGGTTTTCTCATGACACATGATTAAATTTGGTTGATTAAGGGCTTGGCAATGGCGGAACATGTCAATCAATTTCAGCTACTAAGGATACACAACGAAGGACTGACCAAGGGCCACTTCCCGAAATAAGGTGTTCACAACTTCTGCTCATGTACTACCAGAAACCTTCCAAATTTCTTGGTTATCAGTATGTTTGTTCCTGTCAGACGTGAATATATAATAATATATATATATAGTTAGATAAATATACATATACATTATACATATACATTTATAATCTACATATATACATATACATATATAATATACATATATACATATACATTTATGATATATATATGACAAAACAACCTGTTTGTGTTTTGGGAATCACAATGGAAAATGCGGGCTCACAGCCATCATGCTTCTCCCTGGAGGATTGCAAGGGTGTGGAGTACAATGCGGAGACAGGGAGGTGCAACCTGCGATGCCCTGGCATGATGATGACGCTTCTGATCATCGGGTTAAAGGGGTGGAACCTTAAGGGGGTTGATAGACGAGAATATCAAAAGAAATATGAGTTGGGCAATTTGTTTGGGCAGTTGGTTGCAATCGACGCCCCGGATCTCACGGAAAATCTATTCAGGACTTTGGCATCGGCCAACATCCCGTGATTTGTTTCATCCATATCCATCCATATCCCAATGAGTTCCAGTCACATGCCCTGTCCCTGTCTGGAAGAGTTGTGCATGGCAGCTGCTATCTACTGGATTATGATCGTTCCATTTCAGGCGGGGTGTAGTCAACAAGAATTTACAACATATGGAGTATGGAGTGTGAGCCAACACATTTAAAAACTATGTCGGAATAAACAAGTAGATTAGGGATCGACACTGCTTAATATCTGTATGGTTGTGATTCGTTTCCAGTGATACATGGAAAGGGGGGGGTACCCAAGTCCCGCTGATATCATGGATGTTTTTGGTGTTGTTTAGCTCTGCTGATTCATTGATGTCCTGTTATGTTTAGCTCTGTTTTGTTCCATGTTGATGGAAGTTCCCCATGATGAAATCACCGCGCCACTCTGCATTGTTTCCAGGTGCGAAGTTTGGACGCAGCCCATCTTCTCGCATCGTAGCTGCATCACGGGGAAGGATTGCCCAGAGGCGGACGAGAGCCTGGAGCAATCGAGCAGATGTGATGATAAGGATCCAGTTCTGGTAGTGAAAATCCTGGTAATTTTCAAAGATTTTCTGAAAAGGATCCTTGAAATCCTAGGTTTGTGAAATCTGGACTGAATAGCTCAAGTGTGAATGGAAAGTAAAGATGTGAATCCTGGCATTCAGAACTATCTCGCACACGGGCCGCACACGTCAAAAGAATCTTTGAATCTTTGATTTCTTGTTTTGTGAGATTGATTCAGGCACTATGGTTTTTAACCTGCACCCAGTTGTTGAAGATTTACTTCAACGTGGAGATCAAGAGTCATGCCACCAAAGCGCCGGTTCTGACTTTGAGCCGTGACGCAGCCATTTGAGATTTACGTGCCTCAAAGCAAGATGGCAAGAACATAGAAAACATTATGTTGTTTTCTTTTCCATGCACCTTAAAAACAAATATATACATACATTAACTAGCTGTGAATGTGTCGCCAATGATGTTTGTAGTCGATTTTGATCCCAGGAATTCTTTTAGGTTCAAGTGAGCCAGACTCACAACTGAGGCCACTTTCCATCAGACCAAGCATGGACCTACTCAGCAAACAATTTTAACTCTCACTACTTTCACCCTACATTCCTACGTACAATTCCAACTCTGTAACATGATCAACAAAATCCCCAACAATCTAGCTATATCTAGCTATTAAACTACTCAGCAATAACGGTGACGTGTTCATAAAACATCATTAAAAAAACATTAAAACTCCCCAGTCCTCTCCTCTGTCCTAAAACGTTCCACAAAAACGCGCGGGACTTCACCGTTGTCCGGCGCGTCGCCATGAATAACTCCCCGTTGTCCATCCAACTGGAGCGCACCTGGGCTGTTGAGCCGCCCAGAACTGCCAAGAGCATCTTCCACAAAAACACGCGCGCAGGTTCCGCGGAAACATGGGGAGCTGGAAGCCTGGAAACATGGGAACCATATGGGAACCATGACCCCAAAGTGAAAAACTGCGATCGCGCCTGGATCAAAATGGATTATAACATAGACCCCACATATTTTTTCTTGAGGTCTGAGGGTAGAAAAAGTGGTGGATATATGTTGATTGCATTTTGGTTCAATTGGAATGCTCGGGAAACACGAACATGTTCTCCTTCGTGTTCCGTCTGTGTGGTGAATTTCTGGCGAAACCTTGGAGGGGCGACGTTTTGCTGTTTGCAGGGAAATATAATTATATAGTCCATGTGATTCCCATTGGTAAAGAAACAAATACTTATATCATAGTTCAGAAGATTATGATAAACCATAAACCATGATATGGAGGTTTGCTGAGTCATGGGGGGTACCCCCAAATCATCCATTAAAATATAGTCTTTCTCATCCACCATATCTTCCCTGTTTAGACCATGGTTATTAGTTCCGATATGTTATATACGTTTCCTAAATATGCTAGTTTCCTAAATATGTTCCCTTTATATGGGTATGGATCAATACCTATTAATACCATTTTAGGGGAATGAACATCCATTTACCAGCTATTTTGGGGTTCACTAGGTACCAGGGTTTTGACCCATCCCCATATAACCGACCACGATTATAAACCATGATGTTAGTTCTGGTCGCTTATATAACCCAGATCTTTGCACGCCAGTTGGCCACCTCTCCGACCCAACGCGACGCCACAGGCACATTTCACCGCCCGACCACGGCACCTGAGTTCACACGTTCCTTGGGTGGCATATAATGATGTATAATATATATATATATATATGTAGGGGTTTCCTAAAATGGAGGTACAAAAGATATAATAATATGTAGTAAGGCATGATAAGTTATATAGTAACATAAATCATAACGTATATAAGTATAACATAATTCTAACATATTCTCACAATAGCTAAGTTTGTTTTCAAGTCCAATAGTATGGTTTGTGGGAGATACAGGTCCATCAATTACTTTGTGGGCTCAACATAAACCTACCAACATTTCACTCGCAGTATCATCGCATTATATTCCCATTATATGACCTGTATTAAGCCATGTCAAAATGCAGATTTCCAAATTTCCCATGGATTTCCCAAGGTTGGTATTATCCCCATCATATAACTATTATTCAGCAATTATATAGCAATTATATAGCCAGAACTTTATATGTCCCACATATTTCCCATAGATCTCCCAGAGATGTCCCAAAGTTAGTTCACTAGTTGGTTTACTACAATGATTCGACACTTTCCCAGAATCATCCCACAATTCTACATATCCCATGACTATCCCATTCTCATCCATGTTTGTTTTTTTTCCATAGATTGTAGATTTCCCAATAGATCGTCACATCGATTCCCCAAAGTCAGTAGTAAACCGCAATGCAATATGGTGGTTGCATATGGTTCCCACCCATTTGTAGTGACAATAGGAATGGTACATATATATATGTATAATATATATATATATATATAATATATATATATACATTGGGGTTTCCCATCAAAATCACTTGATTTTCCATAGATTCTAATCTTTATCATCCCACAGATTTCCCCCAGATTTCTCCATAGCTTAGTTGCTCGGGCACTCGCGTTGCGAGCACTCGGCACTCACGTGCTGCAACTTACGTGCTGCAACTTATGCCAATGCATGTTTCATGGACAGAAATACGTCATTGGTTTTTTTTGAGTGAGAGGCATGTCGATGTTTTTTTTGGTGAATCAAAAATGCATTGGCATATTAGCTAAGATCAATTAAGCCCTTTAAGGACTTTGGATAAAGTAAAAACCTTAGATATGTGGCAGCAACAAGTATGTTTGTAGGAAAGCTGAGCTTCCACTCTGGGAAAGGTCTTACGATGGAAATTGATTCTGCAGGCTCTTTAGAGTCTCAAGCATGGTGGGAGAGGAGCCTTGTCTGAGGACAAGGCACAAGCCCTCTTAGGCCCCCAGAGAAATGCATTTACTTGAGTGTGAAAAAAGCATCCGGCAACATGTATACTTTTGGGCTCCCCCAAAGCTTAGAACCTTAGCTGATGCTTTTTTAAGCTTCAAGTAAATGCATCCATATGTGTCGACCATACCAAAATCCCTTGTGTTGCGACAAATGCATTTACTTGACCGTGAAAAAAGCATCCGGCAACATATATATGTTTGGGCTCCCCCAAATCCTGGAACCTTAGCGGATGTTTTTTTTATCTTCAAGTAAATGCATCCATATGTGTTGATCATACTAAAAGCCCTTGCGTTGCGAAACAGCGTGTTGCAACGGTACGTTGCGCGTGCTGCGTGCTGGAGCTACTATGCTCCATAGATTTCCCCGGTTTTTTTTCGTCGACTCTCCAAGGCTTTGATCCCGTGCCCGGCCTGCCCAACCTGGTCCAGGGCGTTCCTGCTTCCCCTCGGGGCAAACGCTTGGTGCCCCACGCGCATAGGTTGGGGCTGGGGAGTTAAACCTGCTTGGGGATGAAGAAAACCACTGATGGAACATGGGTGATTAAACCTATTAAACATATTGATAGATGGTGATTTCCATAGGTTAGGGCGATCTTAGTTTACCAGAGGGTAGTATCTAAGTCCAGTCAAGACAGGGTTTTCTAAAATTTATATTTACCATTATGTACCAATATGTCATGGCTGGACATTGATACCAAGAAAGCAAAGTTTGTCACCAGGAAGCTAAGATGCCTCTTATGTGGTCTGTACCATGAAGTATACCACATGATATATTGCATACTAGATCACTATGTCGAGTATAGGAATATACCATAATATACCTAATATGTTTTGCTGTTCGAATTTGGTACTATCATGTAGCTTAGGGTGATATGTTTGTACTATCATTTGGTATAGTACCCTCCAGTAAACCAACAGTTTGCTATGGAAGCCATGGTGATTTCCAGTTCGCAAACTCATCATGCCAAGTTCCCAATGATCTCCAGATATCTCAGATGATAATCATCATAGATGTAATCATCCATCCCTTCATAATCCTTCATTTCCAGACAAAAAATGATCTCCAGATACAGGATGGGGCCCCCAAGATAGCGTTCAGTTGCCTTATAAGTGGCTGAATTAGAGTTTATCGTAGATGTAACGAACTAGTTAATGGATGTTTTCATGGGCTTTATAAACCAACGTTCACATCACTGGGGGGGCACACCATCCAGATATGCGCCAGGATGCCCAACATTCCCGTGCGCGGCGCCACGGCCGCTGGCCCCTGGGCCGAGTGCATCGTGTCGCCTAGGAAGGCTGTGCCTCGGCGGGCCGAAAAGCAGGGGGGGTGACTTCGGCCCCCCAAAAACATGAGGAAAACACGTCGTGGAAAATGATGATTTAACCAATTTAAGCCTGAGAAACTGTGACTTAAGCATCAGACATGGTGATTTCACTGAAGAAACATATGCATTCAAGTTAGCAAACATGGGAGATTCGAAGCTGAAATCGGGCACAAAGCAACACCTGGGATTTGATAGGATGTAAGCAAGATGGACATTTAAAGCAGCCAGGGACATTGGAGTTTTTTATGGTGATGCAACCAACAAAAGTGGGGGTATGAAACCAAAACCAGTCAAGATATGGAGATATAATTACCTATATAGATGGTTACCCTGAGATATACTGTCTTATTTCTGGCTGGCGGTTTCGATACTATGTGTTTTTTTCTGACAAAATAGCAGAAAAATGATTCCCAATGACTATTTTTTTTCGGATGGGTTGAAATCGCAAAACAAAGGCGGTTCTTGGGTCTTGGGATTGCCTGATGCGAAACAAACCACAGTTCTGATCCACGAGATCATGCAATGTTTTGCGACTGATGTTTTCGTTGAACAAAAGGAGGGCTGCGGCTGCAGCTCAATGGCTTCGAAAAGTATAGTAAGCCAGATAGAAATGTCAACGAAACCACTATTATGTAGGATTGTTTTTTAGTATTCCTTGGCACTGCTTTGTTTTTTAATTCATAAGATCTGCGTGAATTCTTTGCCGACTTCACCCCTTTGCTGCACCACTTGGGTGATCGGACAAGTCGCAGAAGGTTCCCCCAAACTCAACTTGCTGCAAGTTGTTGAATCATTCCCATCCCCCTTACAGTATCAAACACCCCCATGCTATGGTCCAAAATATGTGTAAATCATCTACTAAAGCATAATTTACTGGGGATGGATTATTATGATGATTGCTCAACCACATGACTAGGAGGAATCTCATGGGAACAGAGTGGGAAGCTACTGACCCACATGATGAGTAATGATGAAATTGAGCTAGAACATCGGAAAAATTGAACACGCTCTCCAGATTTTATGTGAGTTGCTCTTGAATCATATGGTTCATCATTTTCCCCACCTAAAATTGCCAGACCCATATTGAAACAAATCCAAATATCATACTGTTGGTTATCTTATCCCATTGAATCCCATGAATAGCCAATTCATATCCTAGAAATATCCTATAAATATCATATAAATATTCTATAAAAATCCAAATTTTAGCAACAAATGAATACATTCTATGTCGACATTCCATTCCATCACCACTTTCGACCAAGGCATGGCCAAGACATGGCACTGAAAATTCCTTGATGTTCAGGCGCAGCGGATACACATGAGCCATGGAAAATACGACTCTGTTGATGGTTATGATTTACCAACAGGAATAAAAAATGGGAGGTATTTAAATGTATTTAATGGTTCATGATTATTCCTACTTTTTTTGGGGGGGTCATAATAGTAATATTCCAACAAGTATGGGTTATTAACGGGGGTTATTCATGGGACTATTTACCAATGGGAATCAATGAGACGGGATCAGCTCTGGCAATGCTATGAATTGGGTTTATAATTTCCTGGTTGAAGGTTGGATTGCCTGTGAAAATTTAAAATGTATATGGCTATTATCAAATACCCATACTGGTGGCTGATGTTCCAATCAGCCATTGGGTTTGCTATCGCTGCCTGGTTGGGTTACCGAATGTGCCCGGATTGATTGGGAAATTCTGCAGAAAGAAACAACATGTTTGAGACTTTTTGACTGGGCCTTTTATGAAGTTTCGTTTTCAATTGGTCAAATCACAATTTGTGTGAGGTTAAACCCTAATTTGTCTAGCAAGCCATATAAGTCAAAATTCCAAATTTAATGGCTTAAATCACGTATATATATATATATACAGTATACACCATTTATTGAAAGAACATCTACAGTTAAACTCAGTTATAAGTTACACATTCCTAAGGATTGGGATTTAACCATTTAAGATTGGCATACAGTCCTGACTCCCGGAGGAACCCCTTGGAACGTCGAGCGGCTCATGAAGGCAGGGGAAAGTGCCCAACATGTTGGATTTGACCAACAAAAACATACACAAATGGGATATAGTATTGGATATAGTGGATATAATGAAGCATGCATGGGGATCTAAAATGGTGGATTTAAGCATCCAAAACAGTGATGTAACCAATGAATACGATGGTTCAATGGATGAAATAGGATATAATGGGAGACTGTGGCAGATTGGGAGACAATAGGATCGAATGAATATAAGATATATATATATAAGATCAGCATCCCCATATTATGTACAATGTATAGCCCTGCTTGTTTACAATGATGCGCCCCTAAGAGACCTTAACTCCTAGTCAGCTCTGGTTCTGCTAGTTTCAACTCACGTATTGGGATGTAAATCCCCTATATGTAGGTGAGATATACTCCATTCTATCCCAGCTCATTCAATCCCATAGATTTACCGCAAATCATACCGTGTTCACTATATATGTATATAGATGTATATTATATATATATATTTATATATATATATATATACATGGATGGATGGATGGATGGATGGATAGATTGATAGAGATGGATAGATTGATAGAGATGGATCAAATCTAGTGCTGCGTCAGGCTGGGGCGAAGAGGTCTCTCACTGCGCTTCGCCTGTTCCACCAAGCGGGCCGAACCATCAAACCACCCAAGGGACTACACAGGCGCGCCCTGGGGTTATGGAGATCTCTTATCCCCCTGGGGGTCTTATCCAAACTGGACATTTTTGGGTAATTTTGGATAGTTTTCTCATGAAACCATTTTTTTGGGGGGCTGATTTTTTTGGATAGTTTGCATCCCCTGTTTTAGATACTTCTATATAGTGGTTCGTTTTGGATAGCTTGCAGTGGGCATGGGATGAGAGATCATCTATGGCATCTCTGGAAATACCCCGCCCCAGAGATGCATTGTTTACATATTTTAATTTGGATGTTTATATCCATGTTGATTGTATATTAGATGGTTATATAGTTATATATATATATATATTTATATCCAATTTGGATGATTGTAATATATCTTTTATATCCACAATCCATCTCGTGTTAGTTTGACAAACTTGAGGGATCCCCTTGGGTAAACTAACACAGATGGGGCAACCCATGGGGAAACCCGTTCGGAAAATGATTCCATATGATCAACATGAGATGAACGTGGGGGTAGCCTATTCTGAGACAAAGCCAGTTGCTGTCCTACCCCGTCATCAATGGTCAACTCAGGTACCCTTTGGGACCAAAAATCGGAGCTGTGGTGTCACAACATGGCAATCTTATTGGGGTATACACCTTGGCTTATTGGGGTATAAAGACATGGAACAATATACCCCAATAGGACATCTTATATTGTTCCCAACCTTGGCTTTACATAGACCTTACACACCCAAAAAAAGACATGGAACCTGAAAAACCATTATTTATATCAACGAACATCGCCGGGCCTCGCTGGGTTTGTCGGAAGGGTGTCCCAGACATGACAAACTGAGGTATCCAACCTATATTAGAAGAAGCAACATAATACATAAATACATATTGTTAGTTATATATATATACACACTCCATATATATATATCCCAATATCTACCAGTGGTAGAGGTTCTTTATAACCCCATGTTCTTTGCGTTAGTATCAATTGAAATATATTATGATAAACGATTTGGCTTCTGGGATACCCTGCTTCAGCCAAAACCGTTAAATTAAAGAAACAAAAGCAGCGAAGTCCTATTAACAGAAAAAAACATAGATGATTTTAGCATTTTTTTTCTCTTACCCTCTGGTAATTTAACATAGCTATTGAAAATGGCCCATTTATAGTGGATTTTCCCATTAAACATGGTGACTTTCCATAGTTATGTTAGTTTACCGGAGGGTAACCATCCAATGATTCGGGTACCCAACGCCAGCCGGTTCAACAGGCCACCAGCGAGTTGCCAAATCTACGCTTGACCCAATAGGCAGGTCGCATGGTAAATGACAAATCTCCCTGTTGATCTTTCTTGGTGGTTTGCCATGGGTCATTAAATGTCCCCATTGAACATCACCCAACCATTAGGTATATGGTCTTTTCCATGGCTACTATAAGGTGATGTCCAATATACCCAAAATGGGACAGTTACCAACCCCTGTTTGCTATAGGCTAACAATGATTTTTAAAAAATATGTTTTACAAAGGCAGATGATGATCAACCGTTTGATGTTGTTAAGAATCATGCTGTTTTGCCTAATTTCATTGGGAAGATGGGAAATGAGAGGAGTGCCGGCACTCCCCTTCTGTCAAAAAATCCGATCCGAAGCAGATCTCGCCGGTTTTCCCATCAGTCCTTGGGGGATGGGACAAGTCAATCCCATGATGTGTGGATTCCCATGGCGATGACCATAACATGAAAAAGAGCATGAACCAGAGTATAAAATAGTATAAAATCCATATCAAAGCATATCAAAGCGACATATTCCTATTGGACTCGTGGGTTGTGTTGGGTATCGTTCAATCGCAGACCGGTGATGGTACATCCTGCAATGACCTGCATTGTTTTTTAAATATGGTCGAGACATGTCGAAACAAAATAGTTTCAATGATACGTTCAACGAGTTCATGGCAGCTTTTGTTTTGAAACACCCCAACTTCAGTAACTTCAAACACGTTTCGTATGACTTTGAGGCTTGACCCAACTCATGTTTTGTGAGTCCTAGAGCTCCGAACCAATCGCGGTTATCAAACTGTTTTGACCTGGCTTGCTCATTCCATTGCAACAAAACTCAACTGTCAGGTTTGTGCATGACCATATTGACCATATTTGCAATCCAGACTTTCTATTTGGGGCGCGCCCGTGTCCTATCTTGTTTCACAGTGATCAACACTTTTCTTTTATTTATACACATCAATCAGTTATAAACGAATATATAACTATCGAATAAAACTATGTAAGCAATATGTATATGTATATGGTACAAAACTAGCTACCTGAATTATCAAAGGAAGTTTAGAAGTCAAACTTCCGACACTATGGACAGATGGAAAAGCAGAGGTGGCAAGAGTCAGAGAGGACAAGAGCAGAAGAGAGAAGATCAGAGAAGAGAAAGAGTCAGAAGAAAGAAGATGCAGGCGCGCGGAAAGGTAGAAAAGTCGCGATGCATTGTGTTTTTCCAATGAGTTTTGGCTGCGGAGGGTCGAAAAGTAGGCTCGCTAAAGCGGCGGGTGCGGAGCTGTCTGGGGAGATGAAAGATGAAAAATTGCATGCAGTTGTGGCGCGAAGCACGTATCGAAGTCAAAATGTACAAAACACTACATGTTCGGACCACTTTTGGAAGTTGAGATGTCGAAAAAGCGCACACGGTTGTGGCGCAAAGCACATTTCCAAGTCAAAATGTACAAAGCACACCAACTTCAAACCACTTTTGGAAGTTGCGATGTCGAAAAAGAGGACGCTGCTGTGGCGCGAAGCACGTTTCCAAGTCGAAATGTGCAAAACACACCAGGTTCGGACCACTTTTTGAAGTTGAGATGTCGAAAAAGTGGCGCGAAGCAGATTTCCAAGTCAAAAGTGCAAAAAACTGACGGGTACGTTTGGAGCACTTTTGAAGGTTCAGATGGGGTTTGCGTGGCAGGCGCAAGGGACTCTGCACCTTGCCAAAAGTGAGGGGTTTTGTAGCATTTCCAAAAACGATGGCAGGGGTGAGACATTTGAAGAGGATCTGGAATGACGCATTTCGCGTGGCAGGCGCAGTACAAGAGACATGATCATCAGAGATGTTAGGAGGTCAGGGCTGATTTCCTGAGAGGCGTTGCATTTTGGAGCATCAGATCTTCAGTTTTGCTAAGATTATTTTGCGTGACAGGTGCAATACTTCGTATGACCTGGCATCACTTTTTCGTGGTAGGTGCAGTACTTTAGACAGACGGAGTGGGAAAATCGCAATACGAATTGGTACGAGGCCGTCAGCTCTGCACTCGACTTTCCATTTTGGAAGGAAGTCTCACAGAATTGCTTCGTTTTTGATGTTGTCCATTTCGAAAATTGAGGACGTCTCGCAGAATTGCTGCGTTTTTGACGTTGTCAACTTCAAAAATTGAGGATGTCTCGCAGGCTTGCTTCGTGTTTGACGTTGTCAAGTTGAAACATTGTGGAAGTCTCGCAGAATAGCTTCGTTTTCAATCTTGCAGATAGACAGATAGATAGAACTACCAATACACTACACATTACACTACAACTACAAATACTAATGCACATATACCACGCTACATTGCACTACACTTATTACCGCTTATTACACTACACTACACAAATTACACTACACTACGCTGATTACATCTAGTTACACTATACTACAATAATTACGCAACAACAACAACAACAACAACAACAACAACAACAACAACAACAACAACAACAACAACAACACAAGAATAACAATAATAACAAGAATAACAACACGAACAACAAGAACAACAAGAACAACAGCAACAACAGCAACAACAGCAACAACTGCAGCAACTGCAACAACTGCAACAACTCTAACAACTGCAACAACTGCAACAACTGCAACAGCTCTAACAACTGCAACAACTGCAACAACTGCAACAACTGCAACAACTGCAACAACAGCAACAACAACAACAACAACAGCAACAACAACACCAACAACAACAACAACAACAACAACTGCTACTGCTACTGCTACTGCTACTACTACTACTACTCCTTCTACTACTACTACTACTACTGCTACTACTACTACTACTACTACTACTAGAAGAGCTACAGCTACAGCTACAGCTGCAATCATCATTGCAACTACATTACACTACACTACACTACACTACACTGCATTAATTACACTGCAATACACTACAAGTACAACTACAAATACAAGTACCACTGCACTACACTACACTACACTAATTACATTACGTTACATTACGTTACGTTACGTTACATTACACTACAACTGCAACTGCAACAGCAACTACATTGCACTACGCTACACTACGCTACAAGTACACTACACTATACAACTACAAGTACACTACACTACTTTACACTAGACTACACTACACTATACCACACTACAGTACACAACACTACAGTACACTACATTACACTGCACTAATTACACCACACCACAACTACAACTGCAACTACACTACACTAATTATATTACATTACAACTACAACTCCACTACACTACACGACAGCTACAACTACAACTGCACTACACCACACTACATCCAGCAGTTGTGGTGAGGTGACCACTGCAACCATTGCAGACACTTCAAAAAACACAACTCCAACCACCTTTCGGTCCATCAGTGGATTCGCTCTGCCATCCGTGACTCACAACAACCAACCTCTCCTATAGGTTTCCTATTTTTGAAAAATTCCGTCACCGCCTTGTGCAGTACTACTGTTTAACTATCCCCTATCTGTCCATATTTGCCCCCTTGTGGAGCAAATTTTCAGGACATGGTCGCTGGGGTCCAGGACGAGAGCCGGATGGGATAGTTGTTAGCAATCTTTTGCTGGGTACGGGAGGGTTCAAAAACCTTGGTGATAAGATGAGCCATGTGATTTTCCCTGTATTTTTTTTGAAGTTAGAGGATGACAAATGCGACTAGTAAAAGGGGCTAGAGCCTATTCTATCCTGTTTTTTTTCTCGGAGATTCAATCATCATTCTTATCAATGCTATCCTGCTATCCCACATGCAAAAAAAAATAACCCCTGCCCCCCGAATATTCTAAATTATAGAATCAACGGTTTTGCAGGAGATTTAGGCATATTTGGGACCATAGAATGGGGGTGTTCAATATTAGGGTGGCGGTCATGGGGTTAAGCTCCATTTTTGATCTTTGAGTTCTTTTTGACGCTTACATCCCATGATATCCCTCTAAAATCCCCATGATCTCTCTATAAAAGTTGTATATCACATCACATCCCCATGACAATCATGATATCCCCATTATGGTTGTTTTGATATCCCTATAAAATCCCCATTCTTTTGGGCAAAGGAAAACCAGAAAAGCTGCAGGAGCTGTGCCAGCCACGTTTGCGCCAAAGTGACCCAAGAGGTGTGTGTTTTTTTGGACGGGTTTGTTGCTCATGTGTGCCATATTGCCATTTATTTATGTATATATATATAACTAAATATATATATATACATAACTAAATATATATACATATATATATATATCATTTTATTTTTATATCATATTATATTATATAAAACGGACTCTAATTCTAAATTGGTTGTCCAAAATTGCAGGATGCTGCAACTTATGTGCACATTTAGTTTGGAATATTATATTCCCAGCCGTCCCAACCATAAGGTTTTATGATAGTTTGAGATACACTTTTAATCCTCACGTGTTCGGTTTAAGGTTTATTCTGGACAGGTTTCGCTAAGACCCAACCCGTGTTGCCATGGTCATTCGCACCCTCCCAGGTTACGATTTGGTGCGGGGCCCACCTTTGATCGGATGGAAAAAGATGGGCCGGATGACCTTTTCTGGGTCGGCGAGTCGACGTCTTTTGGGTCATGGTCTTGCTGGACCGGCTTGTTGCCCCCTGGTAATTGAACATAATAGCTATTGAAAATGACCATTTATAGTGGATTTACCCATTGAAAACGGTGAAATTCCATAGTTATGTTAGTTTACCAGATGGTAATTTGGTGAATGGCAAGTGTTTTTCTGCATTCTGATGGGAACAATTGGGAACATATGAGCCAAACCATATCAACACATACTACAATAACTATTTGAACACGGGCTATATTCCCAATATGGCCATTTATATAATATATATATATATATTAAAGAATAGTGATAATGTTTTTTAATTGGAAGGGATGTTGAAGGCCAACTATGAACAGTGGCTCACCTGTCCCAGCCGCCGTACATCCTCTTTATCTAAAACATGGACGCCAACGGCCATGTTCAATAGCAACATCGTTAAAGAC